TTTTGCTTTTGTTTTGAGACAGGGTCTCACTCTCTCACCCAGGCTGGAGTGCTGTGATACAATCTCGGCTCACTGAACCCTCTGCCTCCTGGGTTCAAGTGATTCTCATGCCTCAGCCTCCCAAGTAGCTGGGATTACAGGCACGCACCACCATGCCCAACTCATTTTTTTTGTATTTTTAGTAGAGACAGGATTTCACCACGTTGGCCAGGCTGGTCTCGAACTCCTGACCTCAAATGATCCACCCGCCTTGGCCTCCCAAAGTGCTAGGGTTACAGGCGTAAGCCACTGCACCTAGCCCAGGGTGACTATTTCATCACTAAAGAACTCTGTTACCAACAAAAACGAAGATTATTTCAGAAAGCGATAAGGGCTATAAAGAAAATAGAAAAATGTGATAGAGTGGGACTTGAGTCATCAGGGACAACATTGCCAAAGAGGCAATGAATAAGCGGGCCAGTAACAAGGCTACTACAGTAGACCAGGTCAGTGACGTAGCATTGAATGGGATTTTAGTAGTGAATGGTGAAAAAACAGGTTTGGTTTTTGTTTTTTTTGAGATGGAGTCTTGCTCTCTCACCCAGGCTGGAGTGCAGTGGCACAATCTCAGCTCACTGCAACCTCTGCCTCCCGGGTTCAAGCAATTCTCCTGCCTCAGCCTCTGAGTAATTGGGAATACAGGTGCGCACCACCACTCCTGGCTAATTTTTGTATTTTTAGCAGACACGTGGTTTCACCATGTTGGTCAGGCTGGTCTCAAACTCCTGACCTCGTGATCCATCCGCCTTGGCCTCCCAAAGTGCTGGGATTACAGGCATGAGCCACCGCACCCAGCAAAATTCTTATTTTTAATTGACACATTTTCAACACATTAATTGTACAAAAATTTTTTAATGGATGGATGAACACATTTCGGAGATAAAGGTGACAGGGTTCGCTGATGGACATTTGGACTGAAGGTCTAATAATAGAGGGTGTGCTGGTAGGGCTTGTGATTGGGGATGAGGGACAGGGAGGGCCCAGGATGCCTCCTGAGTTTGTGTCCAAGATCACTGAGGGGAAAGTGTTTGCTATTAACTGAGACTGGAAACAGAAATAAGAGGCTTCAGAGGAAGAAGTGATTAGTTCTGAGTATCTTGTATTGAGGAGCCTGTAAGACATTCAAGTAACTATCAGGTCATTGGCTGCCTAGGTCTGAAGGTTAAGGAGGCGCTCTAGGTTGTAGAGGAAGATTTTGGGGCCAGTGCAGTGGCTTATGCCTGTTATCCCAACACTTCGGGAGGCTGAGGTGGGGGAATCACTTGCAGCCAGGAGTTTGAGACTAGCCTGGGCAACAAAGCAAGGCCCCATCTCCACAAAAAACAAAATTTTTTAATTCACTAGGCACCATGACATGCACCTGTAGTCCCAGCTACTCAGGAGGCTGAGGTGGAAGGATCACTTGAGCCCAGGAGTTCGAGGCTGCAGGGAGCTGTGATCACACCAATGTACTCCAGCGTGTGTAACAGAGAGATAAGCTGTCTCTAAAAATAAAAAAAAATTCAGGGCTTGGGGTAAAGTCTTGGAATGAATATATATATATATCACCTCATATATATATTCATATATATATGTATTTCTTTTTGAGTCTCACTCTGCTGCCCAGGGTAGAGTGCAGTGGCGCGATCTCAGCTCACTGCAGTCTCTGCCTCGCAGGTTCAAGCAATTCTCCTGCCTCAGCCTCCTGAGTAGCTGGGATTACAAGTGCATGCCCCCACGCCTGGCTACTTTTTGTATTTTTAGTATAAGAGACGGGTTTCACCATGTTGACCAGGCTCGTCTCCATCTCCTGACCTCAAGTGATCCACCTGCCTCAGCCTCCCAAAGTTCTGGGATTACAGGCATGAGCCACTGCACCCAGCCCAGTATTGGAGCATATTAGATGACCCAGGAGACATGGAAAATAAGACAAGCAAGGGAGAGACAGAACCAGGAAGCATGGCAGAGTAACAGGCACAGGTGGAAGAAAATGTCCATAGGGGAGCTTGAGTAGGACCACGCTCAGTCAATAACACCACATGTAAGACCCAAGCACTCCCAAGCCTCCAGTTTTTGGTTTTTTGTCTGGTTTTTTTTTTTTTTT